AGAGAAACTTTCTATCCCGCTTAGGCTTCGTGCCTTCGCACTCGCAATCGTCTCGGCTAGGGGTTACGCCCCCCCTTTCTAACAATCCTGGATCCGGCCCTGCACAAACACACACACACACACACACACACACACACACACACACAGACGCCAGAAATGAAACCGCATGCGCACACACAAGAACAAAAACGGAGCACGGAGGAAAGTTTAGGTTTAAGATGACTATTATAATGGTAAGAGTTTTTTTTTTCTTTCGTTTTTTAATGAAAAGTTTAGTGAATAATTTGCAATTCTTGTGTGAATTTCAATTGCTAATATTAGAAAACGAAAATTTAAGTAGGTACGAAAGAAATCATTGAAGTAATCAGAATAATAATGATTTTGATAATAATGGTTATCGTTAAAACTCCAGTAGGGATAATAATGATAGTTAATACTAGTAGTAATTAATAGTAGTAGCGATAATGATAACAACAACAACAATAGTATTGACAATAATAATGTAAATGTAAATAATAATCATGATAATATTGGTAATTACAATAACAATGATAATGAAGATGGTAGTAATTATAATGATTAGGAAAATAATGGTGATAGCTATGACAATGGTAATGATAATAATGATAATAACAATATGAATATTAATAGGAATAATGATAATAATGATGATGATGATTATGATGATGATAATGATAATAATAAATGATAATAATGATGATAATAATAATAGATTATAATAATGATAACAGTAGTGATAATAATAGTAATAATGATAATAATAATAGTGACAATAATAATAATAATAATAATAATAATAATAATAATAATAATAATAATAATAATAATAATAATAATAATAAGAAGAAGAAGAAGAATAAATGATTATGATAATAATAATCCCAATAATAAACAATAATAATAACAATAGCAATAACAATAATAATAATAATAATAATGATAATAATAATAATGATAATAATAGTAATGATGATGATAATAATAGCAATAGTAATAGCAGTAGTAATAATAATGAAAATGATAATGATAAAATAATGATAGTACTACTACTAATAATAACAACAACAACAATAGTAATAATAATAATAATAATAATGATAATAATAATAATAATAATAATAATAATAATAATAATAATGATTAAATTAAAGGGTTAAATCTTGGGAATGGCTGTCAAGGAGTGATTTGAAAGTTGGAACGGAAGTTCTTGTATGTGCTGCACAAGAGCAAGCAATAAGGACCAACTACGTGAAGCACTATATAGATATGAGCAGCGACAGTCCACTGTGTAGAATGTGTGGTAAACGAGGTGAAAGCATACAACATATTGTTTCAGAGTGCGAGAAATTAGCCCAGAAAGAATGCAAAAGGCGTGACGATAACGTGGCAAAGAAAATACACTGGGATTTGTGTAGGAAACACGGGCTTGAGCATTCCGATAAGTGGTATGAACACATTCCAGAAGGTGTTGTTGAGAATGAGGCTGTGGAAATTCTGTGGGATATCAACGTACAATGCTGATAGCGTCATTCAGGCAAGAAGACCAGATGTTATAGTAATTCAAAAGAAAAGAAAGAGGCTCTGATAGTTGACATTGCTGTACCTGCGGATACGAGGATTACAGAAAAAGAGTTAGAGAAGGTAATAAAGTACCAAGATCTGAAAATAGAAATAAAAAGGTTGTGGGAACTGCGATGTGCAAAAGTTATTCCAGTAGTGATTGGTGCCCTCGGAAGCGTTACAAAAGATCTTGAACGTTGGATTGAAAATATGGACATTGTGCCTGAGGTGGGAGTATTGCAGAAGACTGCGTAATTGGGGACGGCAAGAATACTGAGAAAAGTGCTGGAACTTTAAAGGAGAAGGAAACCCGTTAGCCTTCAGTCATTTGTTGTGACTCGCCTAACAGGAAGAAAAACGGTAATAAGACCAGCCAGTGCAGAAATGCTTAAAATCCCATAATAATGATAATAACAATAGTAATGATAATGATAATAATAATAATAGCAATAATAATAATGGTAATAATAGTAATGACAATGATAATAATATATATATTTTATATTATATTATGATATATTATATTATATTATTATCATCAGTTATAATATTGTTATTATTAGCATTATCGGTATTATTACTATTATCCTTATAATAATGATAATGATAATAATAATAATAATAATACTGATAATAATGATAATGATAATAATGAAAATAATAATAATAACAATAATAATAATAATTATTATTATCATTAATATGATTATTTTAAGGATAATAGTAATAATAGCGATAATGATAATAATAATAATATTATAACTGATGATAATAATAATAATGTTGATAATAGAAATGATAATAATAATGCTAATGATAATTAGTAATGATGATAATAATAGTAGTAATGTTAATAATGGTAATAATAATAATAATAGTAATAATGATAATAATAGTAATGATGATGATGATAATAATA